GCTTCATATGTATCTAATTAAAGTACACCATCACAACCACAATGTCAAATAGAAACTACGAGAACAGGTCAGCTCGGCAGTACGAAGTACGTAAGTAAGCACATTTACTTGAGTTTAAGAAGTGACTCATCTTTCCCAGAAATTGAACATCAATTTAACATATAAAACTGTGTTTTTAAGGCTGAGTCATCTGCTTTTTAGGGACTTTGTCTCGGTGTAGTTTGTTATGTTTATAAATGTGGATAATCTTTCCTAGAAATTAGGGTTTTTCTGACACTGACTCAGACTTACAGTATGCAAATGACGGGAGTACTTATTTGCAAAAGCCCTTATTTCAGCGAAGACCATGATGAGAAGCAGTGGTGAAGAAACTAATTATTCACTACAGGGTTGCAGCTGAGCCATTGAAAATTTGCTTCGAGGTCGACATCAATGCATATGTCATGGAACCAACACCATCAATGAAATCAAAGCTTTTACATCAAAGACTGACATGGTTACTCTGTGATGATTGATGGGCTCCTCTCTAAACTCCCCAAACATCAGTGAGAGGGAGGAGAATCTTCATCAATATTCATTTTTTTTCTCTTTTATATTCACATCCTCATTCATATTCATCATTCCTTACGCAGAGCAAATCTGCAATATTTGTGGGCAGATTCTAATTCACGGTGTAGAGGACTCTAGTGAGTTTGATGAAGAATTTCCAAGTAACAATAGTAAACTGCCAAAATAATATGTCTAAAATATGTGTTCTGTAATCTGTAAGATCAACTAGAGCAGGCCGTGACCTTGTGATAAGGGGACTGTAGGTTCCATTCCTGCCTTGCCCAGCAGTAGTGTGTTGAGCAAGCAGCCTTGCTACTAAAGCACTTCTGAAAGCTATCACTGCTCTCCAGATAAGGGTCAATGGGTTAACGGTAGATTCGATATTTCATAGTAAGTGGATGTGTCTGTACTAGGGATGTCACAAATACAGATTTCTTTGGTACAATATTTTCAGATATTCGTGATTATTGACCTTGTAGGTCTTAAAGTTTCCTTAATTTCTACCTTTTGATGCCAACATAACAAAAGTTTATAGCAATAAAGTCAAGTAACCAAAAAAAGAAACAACACAGAACACTGAAATGACCATAATCCCATTGACAATATCCCTACTGCCTTAGTAAACAATAATATACTGAATGTTCGATGTATTTCTCTCAGAGAATGTGAAGGTCTACACAAGGCCAACGTTTACTCACTGATGGGAGAAAGCTAGAGGAGCTAATGCTAAACGTTCACTGACTGAGGACTTCGACAACAGACAACATGGCGTTTTCTTCTACAGACCACTGCACCTCGAAACTAACCGACCAAAAAAAGACAAAATAACTTTTTATCGACCTCACGCTATGTTCATATAAAAACAGTACAATGAAACACACAATCACTTAATGACACGATAACATTTAATGTCCTACCAATCCAATGTTACGTAAGAAAAACATTGACGTGGTTTAATCCAGTTAAAGTGTATTTACCTTTACGTTGGCGACCAATGTCGGGTTGTTGTCACGCAGGTTGGACGTACAGTATTTCCTCCTTTCGCCGCAATTTTAAATGCTGACAAGCCGCGATTCACAACGACATCCCGGTCCTTTTCTTCTGTAGCCAATATAATCCAACACGGCTGTTCGAAGGAAACAACTTTTCTTCCGCCATATTTTCCCGCCTAAGTGGTAACACACACGGCAACGCGCGGTAGTTGTGTTACATTGTTTCCCCTCCGATTTAGTTGCGCTTATCTTTAGTTCCGACATTATATTTTTTTGACGGTATACAGGAAAAGTTACGATCAGTTACCCGTAGCGTAATTTCTTTATTTTACTTACTTGTGCTCCGTTTGTGTAATGGTAATAATCATAACAAACACATTTATAATATAATATAGTTGCTATAATATAATTTTATAATTTATAGTTTTTATTTCATACAATTAGAGAGCAGAGAAAACGCCCATTAATCAAAATAATTTTTCTGGCCAGCATCAGTTTGATCTGTTTCCCAAAAGTACACCAGTGAACCCCAGTCCTCTAAAGAATCCTTACCCAGTACTGCTGGGATTGTCTTCAGCTGCAGAAGATAACTGAGTGGTGTTCATTCAGTCTGACAGTTAGTGGGGCTGTTTCCAGTTTCCTTTAAAATGATTTATGAATTGGACCAATACAATCCCTTATGTCAATGGAGGGACGGGGGGGGGAGTAATTCAATCATTGAAAACAGACATTAAACAGACATTCTTACGTTCAAAGAACGGTCTACAAAACATAATTGTAGATTCTCATTATGTGGTTCTGATGCATCCCAAAGCCAAAATACACGCTTGCTTTTGTATGTGCAGAGGCAATAACTTGGTAAAACAATACCATTAGAAGTCCAACGCTCCTATTTTTCCATTACTTTAAAACAATACTGGTTGATTATGCCTTGTCCTTGGAGGAAAAGGAATCGTTCCTGCTTACTCAGCTTCTTATTCTGCGCTGCTTCTTCTTTTTTCTCCCCCTCTCCTCTTTACTGTTGTTGCTCTGCAGCAATACGGACCTGATTAACAAAGCAATCAAACCCTGGGTCTTCTAATCAAACCATAATGGGAGTTTACCCTGCTTTATCTCTGACTGGGAATAAATGGGATTTGAGCATGCATTATCTCAAAGTGAAATTTAATAGCAGTATCCAGGGAGCGTTTGACTCCATCATTGTCTCTCTGCCAGGTCTGAGCTGGAGAGGAACAGCAGCAGGATTTAAAATGTGGGATTTGATTCATTTCCCTGCAACAGCTGTTTGACCTGTGTTTTCTCTTGCCGCTAGAACTTTCCATGGGCTTACTTTGCCCTTGTATATTTGTTTGGAGTACCAGTGAGTAAAGTGCATGCCCTTCGACGACTGAGAAAAGATGTTTTCAGTGCCTTTGGCACTGAACATTGCTGAGGTGTTGCTGATGAAATCTGTGGCGTCTTACCGCTCCAGGGACACAGCAATAATAACAGATTTATGAGTAAAATGATGTATTTCTGATTTACTCTGGAGAGGCCAGAAAAATATCTTTAGACAAGAGTAGAAGTCAAATATTTTGAGAGAAAATAATCTTGAGAAAATAAAAATAAAAATGTCTAATACTGCCTTTCCTACAGGTGGTGCTATAAATCATAATAAATCATATATCTATTGTTCCCTCTGAGCTTACGTACAGTATATAAATAATATATATACACTGTATATATACTATATATATATATAGTATATATATATATATACAAATATATAACCATTGCTAAGGACATGTGTAAAAATGACCTCTGTGCTGAAGACCCTGGATGATCTTTGGTGTCCTGCCCCTCTGTGGTGGAAAAATTAATCAGCCATTGATTTTACTCCGGTGGGTTCATTTGTGTGTGAGGGTGTGTGTGTGTGTGTGTGTCATCATCAATGTTTCTGTTAGGTTGTTTATTTTTTTTACTTTGTGTGATGATTTGATTTACTTCCTAATTGGATGAAATCCTTTACATAAAAACCCATAAATCTAATGATGAAATATGTTTCCATTCTTCTCTGTGTGCTACAGAGGTGTGTATTCAGAAAGCTCTGCTCTGAAAAAGGACAAAAAAGTCATCACCTCAGCGTGTCAGCCTGCCTATAGGTCTACAGCTGACATTATTCCCGAATCCCTAATTAACAACATCACCCACACTGCCTCGAACGCATGACAAGCAGCCAGGACTGAGAAAGTATCTGAATATTTATGGCTCCATTCAGTAGCGAAGAGAAAAATGGACTAAATTAGAAAGTCTAATGCTATGTTGTAATCTTCGACAAGGGGGGGTGGAGGGTGGGGGTGGGGTGATACTATCCACTATCAGAATCATTGATTGGAAGGCTGCCATCAGCGATGATTTGAGAGCCAAAAGACTCTGTTTTACCTTGATTTGTGTAGAAAAGAAAATGTAAATCACTCAACTGTAAAAGTATAAATAATGCGAGCACCTGCCAAGAGTGTGAAAACCATGGGTTTATTGAATTTAGCTCTTCTTTTTTACTCCTTATTTTCTACTATTTATTCATTCTTCTACTATTACTACTATTCTTTTCTTCTTGTTTCACCACTCCTTTTATTTTTAAATCTGTTTCTAATTATCTTTTCTTCTTGTTTCACCACTTCTTTTATTTTTAAATCTGTTTCTAATTATTTTTATTCCTGCTTTTTACCTTACCTACCTTCAACCCTGGATCTGTCACTCATTACTGAAATAAATATAGGTTCTTAAAGCTAATTAGTCGTGCGTTACCAGCCCTATCCTGAACCCATCTGCCACTCGGACTGCACACCTCATCACCGATCCAGTGTCTTCATTCATGATGTGCACCACTCTCACATGCTCATCTGCCACTTTGGATTTCTTTGTACAGTTCCACAGTACATTTCTACTTATAATATAATACAGTTTTAAGTTAATGTATCATTATGTATTGCTATTAGGAACCACTGTTGTCATCAGTCAGTCCTTAAATATTAGAAAGGCGATTAATGACCGGCTCCAACAATTGAAGAAAAAACACAAGCCCTTCAATTACCATCAATTAGTTTACATTGCCGGTGATTCAATTATTCACCGGTTCCATTGAGGCGTAAATCACCGAGCACATATTTATGAGTCAAGACACCAGAGAATAAACAAACAACTGTGAACCCCTCCGGCGTAAACATTGATTACCACTGGTATCATACACCAGTAAGCAGACTGTCACACTTATTTAACTCCTGAGGTGCGTTTGCATCGGTCTGTCTGCGTCACCAGCGTTGTCTCACCATCCGTTCTGACGAGCTCCTGCCTAAACATCACAGACAGGCCAAAGAGTCGAGCGCTGAGCTGAGGCTTTCTGCCAGTAATGAGCTAGCATCACTCTGGTCTCCCTGTCCCTGATCTGCAGTTACTGTGAGTTCTCATTAGTGTGTGTGTGTGTGTGTGCGTGTGTGTGATTCAGGTAAAGCTGTGTTTGTGTGGACAGTGTTTTGACAAAATACTATTGTTGTGGGGACACTTTGTCCTTGTGCGAACATGTTGTAGGTCATCATTTAGTGGAGGGTGTTTTAAGATACAAAGAGTAATTTAAAATTTTGGATCAGAATTAAGGTCAGGGTAGAGACAGGATAAAGATTAGAATTAGACATTAATTTATTGTTAATCATAAAGGTCGGGGTACGGGGCGTGCTTACAAAACACTGGTGTGTGTGTGTGTGTGTGTGTGTAGGCTTGACTGCAGTGACGTTCATCTGTAATGATGCAGTGTCAGGCAGCAGAGACGGAGGCATCCATAGCCGAAGGACTGATGTTGTAATATGCAGAACGGCCTCATGGATTTTCTCCATTTGTTTTGCTCACTAAGTACAACAGAATGCATTTCATGCAGGATCCTGCACGGCTCATATGCTGATGTCCGCTGTAATTCAAGTTCCAGTGGAGTAAGAAGCATTTTCATGCAAAAATCTTTCTACAGGATTTACGTATATTTGCGTAACTCAGCGGTAACAGTCAGACTGTTCTACGAATGCTGCAAATCTGTGCTTTTCTTTCAAATCCAAACATGATCCAAAATTATTATTGCAGCCTGAGTATATATTTCACCTGTGAGATTTTCTTTTTAAAAATATACCACCAACACCTCGGGTGATAGTTTGACTACTTTACAGTCAGCGAGATGCCACCTGTCAGTTGTTACAGCAGACATTTATAGAAGAGCTGAACATGGATGGTTCCTGGCTGAAGGGTAAACGCTGAAATCTCTGAACAATTAAACAGTAGGAAGTGTGAAGGTTTTAAACGAAAAGGTATAAAAATAAGGCTTTTGTGAAAACAATAGACATTTGTGATTGCTAAATTAGGAACAAATGGAAGGTGCCTGCAGCACACTGGAGGAGAAAAGCTATTGGATCGGCAGATACTTAAAGTTGCAGTATCGGTATTGGGCGAGAGAGAACATGAGAACGGTGTGCACGCCTGCCTCCAAAGCAGAGAGAAGAGAGTCCTGGGTTTTATTCCCAGATTCCCAGTTAACAGCAGATCTGCTGCTTACACAATAATCCCTGTTTACAGCAGATCTGCTGCTTACACAATAATTTTCCAAATATGGGATTAATATAGTACAAATTATTTTATTATTATTATACAAGAGTCAAACATTTTTGGAGGTGGTGCATAATCTTAAAACTGCTCTACAACATAAAAGTCCTTCATCACTGGAGAAGATCAGAATCAGTCATTACTACACCTCAAGTGACTTCATCCACAGAAGAGAAGATCCTTCTCTCCGACCTCTTGTCTGATGAAACCCCTCAGCCACGACTCACATCTCGTTCCCTCCAGTGAGAACTTCCTGTGCTGATGCACTCAGCTGAGAAATTACAGGAAGTAAAGAGGATCAAAGCCTGCAGCAGGTTTGATATGTGGACGTAAATCTTCCAGCAGACAGAGGAGACATAGACATAGTTCCTTATATATATATAAAAAAACTACTTCAGTGTGTTACAGTTCCAGTCACTGCTCAATAAAGGCCTCGAATGCCAGAGCAGGAATATTAAAATTGTTGTATTTATAGAGTCAAAACAGTTTCATGAGCCAAACAGTAAAGCAGCACAGTGTCCTTGCAGCCGTGTCCTTGTGTGTCAGTGTGTGTCCATGTGTGTGTGTGTGGGTGTGAACAGGCAAACCGGCTGATTAATGATCTAGGAGTGAGAAACTCACACACAAAAACAAACGAAATACTTTGGGAATCAATTCATCACACTTTATTTTGTGCGACCCCCAGCTGATGTCGCGTCTGGAGAGCAGCGCGGTACACTCAAAATGTGGGAATGTAGTTTGGACCCACACACACACACACACACCTACACCCCATGCAGGTGACAAGTCCTTTGCCAAGATCTCAAATCAATCATTTCTGTCAGAGTTTTATTGAATCAGGCCAGAGGAGCAGGGAGACGGACAGAGGGAGAGAAACAGAGAGGGAGATAGAGAGACAGACGGGGGGGGGTTCATGTTTGAGACTGGTTCCTTTTTTTGTCATTTCTTTCCTTTATTTACACTGGAGTCACTGGATCAAACACAGCACTGTGTCCTACGACCGGACGAAGGACAAGTTATGCGACCCTCTGCAGTTCTATGTTTAGATATACTGAGGAGGCTTGATGAGGACAGCGTGAGGCAGGTCACTAGGCCATTCCCCTGAAGGCCTGAAGATACTGGTTGAACTGGTCAGCACTTTCCTTAGCTGTACACAGCTGCTTCTCACACCACTGAACCAAAGCTTGCTGCAGCATCTTCACACGCTCCCTCTCAAAATGTGCAATCTGGGGAAAAAAAAAAGAAAAAAAGTATCAGATGCACTAAAAATCACCGTAACACTGTGTTCATGCCAGCAAACTAAGATGATTAGGCGAGGCTTTATAAAAATAGACGGTTTTAATGAGATGTTTTACCTCCTGTTTAGCAACCTCACATATGTCATCAAACTCCGTCTGTGCCGCTTTCCTCACCTCCTCCATCTGTAGAATACAAATGTCTGTCGTCATCATAATAAACCAACTGAACACATTCACGATTCGAGCATCTCGTGTCCTGCCCCATCAACCGGGGATGGTGCACTTTCTGACGCTGAATCGTAATAGCTGTACACTACTGACATCTGCTGGTGGAGAGCAGGCCTGCACATCTTTACACACTCACAGCAGCCTTCTTCACGGGTTTGGCTTTCTCTGTGTTTCTCAGCGCAGTCTCCAGCTCCACCAGTTTACAGGTTCTCCTGAACAGCATTTCCTGGCCGGGACATATTAATCATGTTACAGTACCTGCTGACATGTTGTATTGTGAGATTTAAAAGCACATAGTGTAGACTTCTTAAAGTACAACACACCTTTTCTGCCTCCTGGTACCGTGACTCCAGGTCCAGGCCCAACCCTAGGGTGCTTACATTGTTATCAGCAACACTCATCATGTTTTTCTGCCAACGCAGCAGCACATTGTGTGTGGATTAGTTGGTAAAAAAAATAAAAATAAAAAATCACAATAAGATGAAGCTGTTTGTCAAGATATTAAACTTACCTTACTGGATTCAAAAAAATCAGACAGTTTCACACAGAGCCTGAAAACAAAAAGATGTAGTGGTCATTTTGATTATTAAATTAACAGTAATCGCTAGATTAAAAACTCACTTACCACACCAGAGTATAATGATTATATGATTTTTTAATTCAAAATTGCTCATAATATCCTTACAAATGCAATGCAATGCATTGCCTGACGTGCTATATACATATATTTATATATGTATTTCTGATTTATTAAATATTAAGTCAAAAGACATTTACAAACGTCTGTTTATCAGGTCAATAAAGTCTCTACAAGTTCAAAGCTGATTTTTTTCCCCCACAGTGACGACACATCCCCACAAAGTCAACGAGACGTTTCCTAATCACTGTACACATTTTGGCTGTGCTATTGTTCGGTCACCTGTGTGCACAGTGTGTGTCGCTACGGTTACTGTCTCACCTGGTAAAAGCCTTTTTGTCTGGATCATCACCAGCCTCCACACAGAGGTGCAGAGCAGCTGAGAAGTGCCCACAAGCCACTGCGATTTCTGCACAGAAATACAAGCAGAGAGCCGGCAGTCACTGAGGAACGCCACGTCATGTTGTCGATAATACGAATTATTCATTTAACGTGTGCAGAGATAAAGGTTCAAACATGGATTACTACACACCCAATTATATCAACCTGATCTGATCACATGACACCAGGGAGCACAGAGTACTGTGTGTTCTTGTCAGAACGAGATCAGTAAAAAACTAAAATATTCTTGTAAAACACTAGTCTCAGCAGTCAGTGAGCTGCTGTCTGTTGTCTGTCTGTCTGTCTGTGTGCTGTTGGCTCAGCACCTGCATATTTCTGGTTTGTACTTGTATAAGTGAAGCATGTTTTCTTACTCTGCTCAGTCAGCACCACATCGAGAAAACGCTGCAGGAGAAATGAGAGCAGAGTGTGAAGCTGACGGTGTGAGGACGGAACAAATGAGTAAACACAAGCAAAAGATTGAAAAAAAAAAAGAAAAATGAAAAAGAAAAAGTGACTGGCTCACCTCAGTGGCGTTCCTGCTACAGCTGGTCAGGCTGAGGTTCTGGTCACGCTTTGCTTGGAAGAACTCGTCCACGTCCTGAAAGACACAAGTTGGAGCAGGACTGGTGCCTCAGATTTAGGGTCAAAGACGGTGAATTCTGTGTGAATGAGTCGGAGTTTCGTACCTTGTGGCCTTCTTTCCTCATTTCTTCCATAGCCTGACTGAGGCGGTCGAAAATGTTTTTCTTTACTCTTTGTCTTCCTGGAGGCTTCACACAGTCAGTATGGAAAAAAAAGAAAAGAAAAGAAAGTATTAGACTGATACAAATGTGTAATCATAGTTATATAGTACAAGGTACAAATACATTTCTAGAAAAGAAGGGCAAGGTCCCACAGGTGAGTCAGTGTTTCAGCTTGTTTAAAAAAAATAAATAAAAGATGAATAAATTGCATTAAAAGAGCAATAGTTATGGTGAAAGGGAATTGCCTGAAACATTCTTGATTTAATAAAAAAATTCTGTGAATGTATTTCTCTCAATAAAGACTATTTTAAACTTCTTACTACTTTGTGACCTAATCATATGACCTGGTCACCTGATACATCCCCAGACCAGTCACCAGCCAATCACAGAAAAGCAGTATGTCCATCTAAGTGCAGCTGTCAATCATTAGTCTTCACTACTTTTATGAGGCCATATTTGTCACATGTATCTTTGGCTCTTTTCTGTAAAAGTCAACGTTTAACCATCAATTTTCCCAGATTCTTGTAAAAAAAAAAAACTAAAAGAATTCTCTATTTATGTCCACTTACATCCGAGCTGGTCAGGAAGATCTCAACAGCTTTATTATTTTTCAGCAGATCATGTGACGCAACCTGTCGGAGGAAAGTTTCCAGTGCTTTACAGTACGGCTGCCACTCTCCCAGAGCTAGGAAACCTGAAGGACAAAAGTATCATCATTTAGTGCTCAGGTGGAAATACAGAGCAAACACGGAACTAAAAATATATTATAAAATTTTCTATTTTTACTATTTTATTGTTTTATCTGGAGTTTATTTCTTCTTGAACTCACCAAGCTGTTTTATCACCTTGGCAGTTGGATTAACTTGGGGCTTCGCAGGAATTGGAGGAAACTTAAAAAAAAAAAAAACACAGGCAAAAAAGGGGGGCGGGGGCAGGGGGGACACAATTACTGATTTTGTTTCAGTTGCTCAAAATATTCCTACAAATGCAACGTTCTACCTGACTTATGTTATACAATATATAAAGATAATCTGCGTTGTAGGAATTAGTTTCTAAAAAACACCTTCATATAATAATAGTTATAAAAAGCAGTTTTTAGCACCCTCTACTGGTAGAGAGTAGGAGGAGCTACGTGTACTGTGTTCATATTTTCCCTTTTCACTTATCTATAATTGTCATACATGAAGGTCTGCAGCACAGACCAAATGAAAGAGCACAGACAGAGAAGCAGTACTGACTATAACTCCCTGTATCCCAGGCACGTTCTCCTGAGAGAACAGATGCTGCTGCAGCCACTCCAGGTCATCGTAGGTGCGGTCCACATGGTACTCTCCAGTCCCAGACAGCTGACGCACACAGAACAGACAGCCAGTCAGGAAGTGTGTAGTTACAATTATATATTTATTTTTACTTAGTTTTTTGTTCATTTGTCTTCAGTAACATGTAATTAATCGTTTTCTTACCTTCTGAGAAACAATGAGAAAGGTGAGAGCGTCCCCATCCTTCAGGACCTCTGTGACCTTAATGCTCTGAGCGTAGATACTCAGAGCAGACGTCACTTCATGTACCTCCTCCTGTGAGAAATAAACTTTCCCAATTACTGTACGTAGACGTAAATTCATATCGCCATCCAAAAGTTTAAAACAGGAAAGGAAACTTCTTGACTCCCAACTAAGAAGTTAGCCGTCGACTTACCAGCATCGTCAAGCTTGAAAGTTAATGCTGCAAACTACTTTGCAAAAAAAACCCTCCTTTTACTTTTGTTAGAACGTGTAAAGAGCCTGTAACTCTACTCCACTCTACACTTGAATGCACTTAATGCTGCAACTGCTGAGAATGCACAGGATATCCTGTGGGTCAAAGTGCAAACTGGTCCTCAGAGAAACACAGTGAAAACAGTGCCAAAACTCAAATGCTGGCTCAGGGAAAAACAGGAGTTAATGGTGTGTTAGTCAGTAACTGTACGGCTTTCAACACACCCACACAGGAAAAATGGTAGGAATGACAGTCCAGACATACACTTAGACTTGTAAGCAAGAAGTTTTCCCCCTGAAGAATACTGTACACTTCTGCATCATGAAGAATTCTTATCCACAAAACACAAACATAATGAGAACCTTTACCAGGGCTGTGGAACATTCAGCACCAAAAATTACACTTTGTCTTATCATTTTACAAGCAAAAAAACCCCAAAACATTTCAACCATTTAAATGATGTTCTGAGTTCTGCGGTATTACCATAGTAAAAAAGTACTAAGAAAGCTGTTGATGTTTTATTTTTGTTTAATGTTATGTATAAATTTCTATATGGACTAATACTGACCCTAGCCATTGTATAAATACAATAAAACTTATTGCATTGACGTCACTGGCCGAAATAGCTCAGTTGGGAGAGCGTCAGACTGAAGATCTGAAGGTCCCTGGTTCAATCCCGGGTTTCGGCATTTTGTGAACTGCAGATTATGAGGAGAAGAAAGACGTACTTTTACACAAACAAAGTAACGTATAAGTCTCACGCACTTTAACGCTGTGTCCGGCCTCCGTATTTAATTATTTATTAATCAAACAAAATCAGGGTTGATGTCAATGTGATCGACCCACAAACATGTCCAACTCGGATGTGCTTCACTATATTGATCGCAAGAGGGCAGAAAACAGCAGCCAAACAGAGCGCAAGAAGAAGAAGAAGAAAGCCGTCTTTTTTGTGGCTAGCGGAATATGTAGCAAAGGTAATGTGGTTAAATAACAAATAGGCTTTATGGAATTGTAAAAAAAACATTAAATGCCAATTTTCTTGTAAGCAGCAGGAAGCTCGACACAAGATTTCCGCGTTAAAAAGCGTTTCTCGATTGAGAAGAAACCACAGGGATTGCCTGCTTTATTCTGTTCGGTAAAATAACAACAACAATCGTTAGCATTGAGCATTTTGTTAGCATCGTAACCGTTAGCATCCGTTAGCTTTTCTATTGGGGCGACGAGCTCTCTGTAAATAATAGCACATCACATTTACCAATTATGTTACCACTACAAACAGAAAATACGACATCGTCGGCCGATACGGATTATAAAAATCGACTTAATAGCGGCGTAATACAAAACTCAAACAAACAATAACGCGATTGAAACGACAGGCGGAGCTATGGATTATTGAGCGACAGAATATTCTAGCATAAGCTATCGTTAGACAACGTAAAACACAATTCGCGTTTTACAGCTATAAAAGCTTATAAACAATAAATGAATTTAAACCGATGGTCAATGAGTTTGATGATGAATGAGTGTGCTAGTATAACATTTTTTTAGCGTCCCTTCTTATAGTACCTGTTAGACACAACAATGCTTGTTTTATTACATTATATTTATGTGTCAGAGTTTTGCAAACATGAGTAGAATGTGCTGAATTATGTTCAACCTTCATATTTAACTGTTTTGTTCCTTTTTTTGCAGGGTGCCAACCAGCAGATTTCACAAGATCAAGACAGAGAAACATCCTGTTATGACATCTTTATTTTTACCTGTGATTGTTGGCATGGTCAAGGCCATCTTCCTTACACAAATGAGTGCTTTTTTCTCTTTGAGCTGGGCCAAGCGCCATGCCTGATCGCGACAGTTCATACCTGTCTGGTGCTGGTGGCAGTGGCAGTAATCTGGGTGAGGAAGGAGGACAAGGATCAGGTCTGGCAGGGGGATCAGCAGAGGGCAGAGGGGGCTCAGGTGGAAATAGTGGAGGAAACACCTCTGGGAGCATGGGGGGAGGAGGGGCACTAGGCAACGGCAACAGTTCCGGGAACAGCGCAGGGCAGGGTTCTGGACCTGCATTGGACGGTGTCTGCAGAGACTTCATACGTAATGTCTGCAAGAGAGGAAAGCGCTGCCGCTTCAGACACCCAGACTTTAATGAGGTCCCAGACCTGGGAGTACAAAAGAATGAGTTTATTTTTTGTCACGACCATCAGAACAAGGATTGCACACGTGCCAACTGTCGATTTGTTCATGGATCCAAGGAGGATGAAGACTATTACAAGAAAACGGGAGAATTGCCTCCCAGGTTGAGAGGCAAAGTTGCAGCACGGCTGGGCTTGTCCCCAATGGATCTTCCCCATAGCCGTGGGGAGGTCCCCATCTGCAGAGACTACCTGACAGGAGAGTGTCAGAGGGGCAACAAGTGTAAATTTCGCCATGTCAAAAAAGACTATGAATATGAGCCTTCCAGAGTTGGGGTTGGCAGTGTTATTGGTCCTTGTACCAATGGAATGGTGAATGCAGCGGGAGGACTTGGTGGTGGGGGAGGAAGTGTGTGTGGAGCAATGCAGGGGCTTGTGGGACCTGGTGGTGGAAGTAATATGATGAGCATTGGCTGTCCAAGCTTTGGTGGTTGTAGAGATCCAGCGATCTCAGGAGTTGGGAGTGTAGGTGGAGGAGGAATGAGTGGTTGTCTGTCCCTGAGTTCTTCAGGTCAGAGGCGCTATGACAGAAGTTCGGTGTACGATCCTTTTCTTGAGAACGGTCTGTTTGATGCCAGTTCGTTGGAGGCCTCACTGGACCACACTGCCCTGCAGCTGAAGAGACGTCGATTAGAGGGGCTTCGTCTGGCAGATTGTAACGGAGGTGGACACTATGAGCTGGGAGTCCAGGCAGCCTTGCCACCACGTCCATTTGAGTACAGGATCCTGGAAGAGGAAAATGCTCTGCTGAGAAAGAGGGTAGAAGAATTAAAGAAGCAGGTGAGAAGAAGTTGTTTATTCAGCTGTTCTGTGACAACGGCTATGTTAAACTTTGTAAACAAGCAATAAACATGTATTCTAACCCTTCATTTATGTGTGTCTCAGGTTTCAAACCTTATCGCCACAAATGAGGTTCTTCTGGAACAGAACGCCCAGTTCAGAAGCCAGGCAAAAGTAATGACACTCTCCTCCACTCCTGCACCCACAGAGCAGACTCTGGCTCCCCCTGTGGGTGCAGTCAGTTCATACAACCACAGCATCGCCCAGACCCACACCACCCTCAGCAGTGCTGGTCTGCAGCCTCGGCCTGTTACACAACAAGACCTAGTGGCTCCCACTGGTGCCCCTTCTGCACCTCCCACTAATGCAGCCCCGCCTACTGCTCCTCCACCCCACCTCAATCCCGAGATCACGCCCCTCTCTGCCGCCCTTGCCCAGACCATTGCCCAAGGAATGGCGCCTCCTGTGTCGATGGCACCTGTGGCAGTTTCTGTGGCACCAGTGGCAGTGTCTATGACACAACCTCTGCCTGGTATCACCATGAGTCACGCCACCACACCAATGGTGTCGTACCCCATCGCAAGTCAAAGCATGAGGATCACCACTCTGCCCCACTAACTGATTCTGGTCAAGAGTGTGGAGTACAAACAATTTGGACTAAAGCATCCTCAGTGAGGATTTGTTGTTTGTTTCTCTTTTACCATAAATGGCACAGTTTGGTCAGGAGAGTAATAGAAGAGGTTCACACACTTCTCCAGCAGAGGGCAGGATGAAGACTTCTCTGTTCAGCTACATTTGACCTGTTTCCTATGGCTAAATTATAAATGCGTGTATCATACAGACTAACGGAGCTGTGAACTCTTGACAGAAGACGGTGTACCAAAGGAATCTTTTCAAACACAGGCAACAACATTTTTCAACAGACTCATTACAGGATGTTGTCCACAGTGTTTCTATGTACACGACTGCTATGTCCTGGAGCCAGTGCCGACCTCGGAAGTATTTTGTGTTTTTATTTTTGTGGTTTTCTGTTGAGGTGTTCTAACTTTAGTACTTCACAAAAAAGAACTGGAACTGCTCAAAAATAAATCTTGTGCTGTGTCACATTAACTGCCTCTTTCTTCTGTTGTCAATTATGAATGCACAGCTCACTCAGCTAAATAAGCCATGCTCAGACATTTGTCGGTGGCAAACGCTTGTGTTAAAATCCAGCTGCTTGAGTTGTTTGGGTGGAGTGACACTGTGTAAACCTGAACATAACAACCAATGTTTTCCTTTAGCTTCACATCCGTTTGACTCTTCAAACAACAAGGACGCTTGGTGTTGGGAAACCCCAGGCAATGGGACTTGTTATAGCTTAGATCCTGCATGCCCACACTGGACTTAAGGGGTTAAGGAGAATGCTGAGTCTGCTGTTCTAGAGGCTGGTGTAACAGAACATTAGTTAAGAAATGCTGTAGTACTGCATCGCTATAATGTTCTGTCATAGTATTTCACTTTTAGAATTGAGCATTTAACTATAACTTTGCAAACACTCCATTCACTAATATTATAATTATCTCCTTAATGCTTGATGCCAAATGTATCATTATGTTTTACCGCAGCAGAACCTCAGTGAACGTCAGCATCCAAATCAGTTCAGTAATCTCTTTGTAAACTTTCTAACCTGTGAAGCTGTTTGGATCATGTCTAGTGCTACATAACAACTGATGAGCTCATAAAACACAGGATGACAGATGAAATAATACATAAAAGCTGCAGGGACAAGAAATGAACTTTATAGTCTGACCCTATATTACATTCATTATATGGGTTACACATTAAATTTTAAGTTTTCTATCCTGACACAGGAAGGATCACATGAAGGCAAATATTCAGGCCTAAACCTTTTTTTTTCACCATATTGGTGACATTATTGTGTCACTGAGAACACAAAAGGGGGAAAAAGGCACCAGTTAAAGTACACTTTTTAACTAGTCTACATGTTGTGTTCAAATGTCTTTAATCACCCAAGAATATATGAAGTATTCTTAAACACCAACCATATTTATGTCTTCTACTGTAGGCTAAAATATAGCATAACATGCTAAAATATGTTGATCTAAGATGGCTGCTCTTTACAGAGCAACTAGGAATGGTAACAACTATTTATACTTTAATTATATATAATATAATAATATGCATTACTTATACAAACATCAGTAAAAAAATACACATAAAGTATAAAAAGAAAATCATGTTTAACAGCATAGCTTAAAATTATATACCAAGACGCTTCGTATGACTTAAACACAAAGCTAGCTAGCTACTGATTGTGGCGATAAACTAGACAGTTTCAATAGGCTTTTGGGGCGAGGGTCGTTTTGGTAATGGGTTAATGTTGAAGAAAAAAAATCTCAGTTATCACTGTTGCCGCAGCAGATGCACTTTTTGTACATTAGTGGGCGTGTTTTCGTCCTAACGGGACAGCGTGAGGAGACGAGCCTGCGTCACACTGATCCGTCTGGACCAGTCGTGCCAAAAGGCTGAAGGCAACTCAGCGTTAAAAGAAGAAAAAGTAAAATAAATTGCCGTCAACTCAAGGGAGATAGTTCAGAGCACGGTGTTGCAGTTCAAACGGTACGTAGAAATGACGCGAGAAATGTGAGGAAGAACGCGGTTTAATGCGCTTCTTTAAAAAACTAAATCCGTGATCATTCCGAGTTGTTCTTCAGCCTTTTTTGTTTTTGTAACCAAAATACCAAGACAGTATGCAAACCGACAAACCGGAGTCGAGTGAACCCGCAAAGGGCAGCGGCGAGTGTCCGAGCTCCGACGACACAGAGAAGAAAGCTCTGTGTACGGTCGACACTCCGCCGCAGCAGGACAACAAGCCCAAAGGCATCAGCGCCGTGGCAGTTCTCTGGACTTTTGGGAAATGTCTGGGCGCCCTCCTGCCCGTCTACCTGGCCGGTTATTACCGGGTCAGCACCAGCCTGTTGGTGTGCGGGATGATGGTTTACACCGGGTGGAAACATGCGCGAGAGGCCAAGGAGGCACGTCTGAAGTCAGCCATCCAGCTGCTGGAGGACGAGCAGGAGAGCTCCTCCATGAAGATGTCCCGAATCAAGAGAGACCTTCCTGCGTGGGTGAGAGACGGAAGCACGCGTTTGCTTTACACAGTGAAAAAGGCTGTACACAAATGTCAAAACAGACACAGTCAGACGGTGTGATTATTAAATAGTTTTATTGGTCAAATGGTTAAAACACCTTTAAACAGTTCGTTCAATTCTTTAGTCTTTAAAGAGTAAAAACAGTTTCATCAACATAACAGGAAGCCATTGGTTCTCAGTCAGATCGGTCCGATACCAAGACGTTAGTGTAATGACTCAACACACGCAGCGTGGTGTTATCTCCCCTAACACATCCTTATATGTAGTGACAGCTTCTTTCAGTCGAAGGCATTCTAATTCATAAATTGTAAACAAATTTTCTTTTTCTTTTTCAGTGAATTTAACAGATGAAAATATTTGTTTATTTTGAACAGTGAATTTAACAGATGAAATATTTGTTTATTTTGAATACACAAAATAAGACCAACAAAAATGTAAGAGCTTCACACCACAAAACCATTTCATAACTTTATTTAGGCCTCGCACAATAAATGAGAATTAGAAATGAGAAGATCAGAGGGGCAGTTAAGGTGGAACAGTTTGGAGGTTTTGAGGTAGAGTTAGTTGGAGTAAAAACAGAGGAGGCAGGGGTTTGGGTGAGATGGATACGGATGATCCGCTGTGGCGACCCCTTAAGGCAAGTGTCAAATCCAAGGCCCGCAGGCCAAAGGTGGCCCTGATTTTGCGTGGCCTGCAGGAGCTTAAATAGTGATTAATTCTAATATCATAATGTCCTCTTACAAAGCACAAATCTCACTCTGCTCCCCCCCAAATCACTGCCATCCTCGCAGATTAATGCAGAGTGGGATAAAGAGCTGGTTTCCAGTAAACCCAGCCCAGCACTGCTATTTTTAGCTACCATTGATTCACATCGTCATCATGAGACGGCAGAGACATGATCAGGGAAACACACTCAGACTTCACTGAGGATGTGGAGGAAGATGTAGAGCACAATATAAAAGAAACAGACAGTGTTCAGTTTTAAACTCTTTTTGCAGTAGACGGGACTATTGCTGAGACCCCCGCCCCCCAAATTAGGAAACATTCGCAGCTATTGCCTCAAAACTCCATTTATTTAAAACACTGATAAATTGCTATTCTCATTGAATAAAATAATTAAAATGACCTGTTAGAGTAATCTTCCCACTGTGGCACTAGTAAACAAAATATTAAAATCAATAATCAAAGGAATAGCTTTTACTGCGCCTGCAGTAAGGTGGGTGTGTCCCCCCACTTTAGGAACCGATGGCCTACAGAATGATCAGTTCCTCCATGAAATGTGGAAAAGTCTCCCCCTTCCTCTAATGCACTTCCTTAAATTCTTTTTTTTTTACATTATAGACTTTCTACATTCAACAATACTTCAATCCCAAACATCTTCTTTACTTTATGAATGATTATTGCTTAAATAATAAATAATGCATTTGCAGTCAACTGAGAATCGTGCCTTTTTCAGTCATAACTAAAAGATTTTTTTTCTACACTCGATGTGTTGGTCACTCATCTTTATGACACATGACCCTTACGTGGAAATCCTGACACAGTGGATCTTATTATAACCTTGAAAATGTGGCCTCTCCCGAATGGAAATCCTGTAAATATTCAGTGATTCTAGTCACTGCTGTCAAACCCAGACAGCATGTATTTGGGTGTGGCTCTGTAGTGAACAACACCTTTACATGTCAACAGAGATAAAGTGGTTTTAAAAAAAAAGTATGATGTATGATAACCCATAACAGCCATCTGTTGCCACTCAGAGTCATTTCCACACTGCAGTTGCTGCACATTATTGCAGCTCATGTATTTTTGTTGTTCTGAAATATTTACTTTGGTGTAACACACTCCCAGGGATGAAAACAACAAATCCTTTAATGGCATTTCCAGTCATGAAGCATCGACAGTTGAACCATATCCTCACTATGTTCAGTGTTTCCAACGATCTCCTGTCTTCATTTCCGTCAGGTCAACTTCCCAGATGTGGAGAAGGTTGAGTGGCTGAACAAGGTAAATATATTCTCTTTTCTGTTGTTGGATACCTTGGTCCGTGCAGTGACCCAGCTGCTGTGTTGACTGACAGTAGACAGCGTGTGTTAGCTTAACAGCTCCTGGTGGCTGATGGACAAAAAGAACTGCTGCCGTTGGTCGAATGCTCCATAAAAAGGCTCCGCCCACATCATCATGGCTCTTCTGTCTCTGTACTGCAGAGTGAAGGCCCAGAGCCAGGCAGCATTCTCAGCTTTTCCATTTCATTACAGGGCAGCTCACAGGAAGGGGGAGGAGTTACCACAGTGCCCCAAACTAAATGAAACTACAGCTATTGTTCCCCCCCCGTTCACCTAACTTTCATAGCAAACAGAGAGACAGAGAGATAGTGACGTGGCAGAGAGATAGAACTAGAATTTCTCCAGCTCACTAGATCATGAGACCTGTGCAGATACAAAGCAGAGTTTGAGACTGTGGAGTGGTGGGAAGGTCAGCAGATTGTGCAGTTGCTCAGACTTCATCCTCCACAGGAGCAGGCGGTTGATGACTCATTCTCTGTGTATGCCAGGCCATAACCAAGTCTTTTTTTTTTCTTTTTTTTTTTTCTTTCCACCGACACAGTCACACAAGCTCTCAAAGCAAACACAGCCTGTGCTTTGTTTTCCTCCTGCGGGGATTTTAATCAAGTTCCTGTAACAACACAACATTTTTTCTAATAGATCAGTACATATTGACTGTGAGGTTTGCATGGACTCAGACGGGGAAATGAACAGCTGAAGGCTCAGCTGTTCACAGCTGTCTCTCTTATTTCACTGCTGTTACTAATGAAGGCCAAGGCATCTCACAGAGTTTTGTTACAACAAGTTTACTTAAAGTGTGACGCTCCGGAGACAAAGGTTGTACGGTCACATTTAAAAGTGTCCTGTAACTCTGTGCTTGTTTGCTTGTGCAGGTGCTACAGCAGGTGTGGCCTTTTGTCGGCCAGTACCTTGAGAAGCTCTTGGTGGAAACCATCGCTCCGTCCATTCGATCCTCCAGCGCCCACCTCCAGACTTTAAGCTTCACAAAAGTCGACATGGGAGACAAGGTGAATGAATTAAAATAAACTGAAATAATAAATGATCTATAATACATAATAACATAAAAAAACAGAATAATAATAACAGTCAAGTATTAGCCATGCTCGTTATATTAGCATGGCATTACAGAACAACACCACTGTCCATGATCATTTCACAAACGTGATCCTCTTGCACTTCATGCGTCTTGTTTGCCACAAACGTGACCAAATACCAAAATGAAGCCGACTTCAGCAGAGTGAAGCACCTTAACTTTGGTGAGGCGTTAAACGTACGGGTTATAAAAGCCTCAGACATTGTCTATTGATGAACTAAGAACCTATTGGGTCAGACACTTTAGGATGTTTATTATTCAGACATTACTTAGTAGTGGGAGGCCTGGTTTAGTGGTTACCAACAGGAGAACAATGGTTTGTTTACAATGTACTGGAAAAATGTCCCTTCTGTTCACTCCAGGCCATGAAGGTTGTAGGAATCAAGGCACACACAGAAAACGACAGGGGGCAGGTCCTGCTTGATCTGTATATCAGGTAACACTCTGTTAATTCCCCCTTTGTGTGTTATAAACTGCTGACCCTTCTCTTTATTACAGGGTGTTGATAAGTGATTGCTGTTGACACAGTATTTTCATTTATTCCCAGCTATGTTGGCAATGTGGAGATCAATGTTGAGGTGAAACGGTACTTCTGTAAAGCTGGAGTCAAAGGAATCCAGGTGTGTTTGTTTAAGATATTATTGAATCATGTTTATTGAACAACATGACTGGTTCAGCTAATCAGTGTGTTCTGTCCGTCTGTAGCTGCAAGGGAGAATGAAGCTAGTATGTTCTGTCCGTCTGTAGCTGCAAGGGATGATGAGGGTGATTCTGGAGCCTCTCATTGGTGACGTGCCCATTGTGGGGGCAGTGACCATGTTTTTCATCCGCAGACCTGTAAGTCAGACCTCAGTCTTGTTGTCACTGCCTCCTTAAACCCAGACTTCTGTGACTCTACATTCCATCCTGTTTTTGCTTTTTTTTCCTATTGATTTCTCATCAGTCTTCATTGATTCGATGCTTACAGTGCATTCTGCTGTTCTCCTTCCTTTTGCAGAGATTAGACATTAACTGGACTGGACTCACTAATTTGTTGGACGTCCCTGGCTTGAAGTGAGTCACGCTGAAAAACACTTCCTTTGTTGGGTTGTTGGGAAATGGACATCAAACCCAATATTTCTATGTTTTGTTTCAGTGTCATGTCAGACAGCATCGTTGGGAAAAGGACATCAAACCCAACATTTCTATGTTGTCATCTTTTTTTTGTTTGTTATCGTCTTTGTTTCAGTGTCATGTCAGACAGCATGATCATGGACGCCATTGCCTCCTTCTTGGTTCTGCCCAACCGTCTCGTTGTCCCCTTGGTTCCTGGTCTCCATGTGGCCCAACTGCGCTGTCCTTTACCAAGGGTACGACATCTACAGATATGAGAACTTCTCATATTTCAGCAAACACCAATAATTTACACCAGAATTACCCCTTCTTTATTTTAGGGTGTTGTTCGCATCCACCTACTGGAAGCAAAGAACCTGGCAGCCAAGGACAACTACGTGAAAGGGGTCATGGCAGGTTTGTCTGACCCCTACGCCATACTGAGGGTCGGCCCTCAGACCTTCACCTCTCACCACGTTGACAACACCGACTGCCCCAAGTGGGGGGAAACGTATGAGGTGAGGACACGAAGACCTCCTGGTACAGTATCTGTGTTTGTAGAAAAATATTCTCCTTATGGTCTCTCATGGATACCATGTGTCATTTCACCTGGTTTGATGTTTTGATGTCCACAGTGTTCATTTGCATTTGTGTATGCGTAGTCTTCATGTGTGTCATGTATGTGTGTCTGGTACATCAGGTTATTGTCCATGAAGTTCCTGGTCAAGAGTTGGAGGTGGAGGTTTATGACAAAGACCCAGACCAGGATGATTTCCTGGGCAGGTACATGTGCAGAGTTCACGTCTCCTGTCTGTTGAGTGACGTCACCCATTTTTGCCACTAATTATCAGATAACAATGAGCCCTAACTCAATATTTATATTTTCTCAAAAAGTAAAGAAAAGAAAATGTTGTAAAAAGCAAAGACTACTGTGACATTTTCTAATCAGTATCTGTCTGATACTTCACGTTAGGATCAGGACATTTATAATCCATTAATACTCATTGTCATTTTGTTTTCAGCCACCTTTTATTGTCCATAGGAGAAAAAAACTAATTTGACTTTCCTACTACATAATAACTTTTATTATTATTTACTTCACTAACATTGTTTTCCCCCCTCCTTTCCCTAGGGCCAAACTGGATTTGGGCATTGTGAAAAAATCCATAGTTGTAGATGATGTGAGTAAAAAATATTCCACCACAGACACAGTAATCAAAAAAAATGTCTGGGTTTTTTTTAACTGCATACCTGTGAATATGGGTGCAGTGGTTCACCTTGAAGGACACTCAGTCTGGACGGGTTCATTTCCGACTGGAGTGGTTGGCCTTGTTGCCAAACAGTGATCGACTGGAGCAGGTCTGAGCTCAAT